GCCGCTGCTGCGTTATTCATTCAAAATATTAGAGAAATATAGAAGCTCAATGCGGAGAAGATCTTGAATGGGTTAAAACCGAAACCAAGCAATTCACACAGAACGCATATTCAGCGCATTTTTTAGATGGATAAATATGACTGCTGCACTTGCGTCTCACAGAAGGAAATGTCAATAATTATCGATACCAAACGATATGAAACATTATATCGTTGATAAATTTTTTTGCTATATCGCCCAGCCCTAGAAATAGCTATAGAAGTTTAAGACTGATGCCAGTTGAGTGTTGCACCACATTATCTGTGACCCAGTGCTAAAAATATATGGCAGACATTCCTTGCATAAGACATGGAGAGTTGAGTCTGGCTATTACAGAAGAAACCATTTAGAAATGTACTACCAAAAATGATACATGGGGAAAGAATCTTTGCAGAAACATCTTTGTTGTGTAGTACATGAGCACAAAAGATTCTTTGTCCCTTTGTGCTTGAAGAATGCATTTGTAAGCTGTAATTTTCTTGCCTTTGTTAAAATCCAGGAATGCAGCGGCGCTGCTGTGGAATTTGTTTTATAAAGAGTCTTTAGTAAAGCTGGGCTTCTGATCCAGTTTTAGCATTAGCATCCATCCATCATCTGAGATTTTTATTATGGTACTGCATACTTACCAGTATTGCAGTCAAATAAGAATATTACAGGCCTTGGATGATCTGCATAAACAAAATCATGCATTTATATGTAAGCAATAAGGTATGAGACACATCACACACACACATCAACGTATCTCTTATATGAGAAGACTTTCTTTGATAGCAGAAAGGGAGTGGCCTCAAAATTAAAGGTGAATGACCTAACAACACCAGCAGGGGTCTTTTACAGTTTATTACATAAATAATAAACAGTTAATTTAGCTGAAATACATAATGCATGGAACGGTTCTATATTGATTGTTTATGTTGCTAAGGGTGTTGCACAGTGGTACACACTACACAGAACTGCTGAGTGAAGCGGTCATAGCCGTGCTTTATCGTGAAAATAACACAGCTGTTGACCAATCAGAATCAAGTACTGAAACGAACTGTTTTATAATGATTTTTATGTACATGTGTAATGTGTGTTCAGGCATGATTTACATAAATACAAATTACATGCTCGTTCATGATTTGAATACTCATTTAGTGTTTGCTTATGAGCTGCACAAATATTTTGTGAATGTTTCCTATTTTGTGTGTTTTGAAGGAGTAAGTCAGGATCTGGACTTGGCAGATGCGTTTGACGAAGATGAACCAAGTGAGTATGACAATTATAATGATGAGAGCAGTATAGGGATTTGTAACACTGTACAAAAAAAAAAGTTATTTTTACAGAAAAAGCTGTGGTTGGCAGAATAATTCTGTAAAAATACAGCGAAATGTAAACATTTACAAAACAGAATTTTTGTTTAAAATTGTAGTTTACAAAAAAATGTAATGTTCAAAATGTTCACTGTAAACTATAAGATTACTTGTTCTTTTTCACTTCCATTGTACATTTAACAGTATTTTACTGTAAAATTACATTAATTGTAAGGTTAGATCTATTACAGTTTTTCACCGTAGCGAGTTAACTTACCAGTAACCAATTAACAGGTTTTTACTGTAGCAATTTTAGTCTGCTACACTATATACAAAAATATTTTTAGTGTAGTGTCAGACGGATTTTATTTTGTATATTAAATGAACTTTTTTTTTTAATTCTCCAGCTGCCCCACCACCTAAAGTGGACCCAGCAGGTGGTGCAGGAGGAGCAGGTGAGGGTAATCATTGTTTGTTGTAATTAATAGCACTGTAATAAGCAGAGCAAAGGCTGTTAAATGAGCCTTTCAAAATTAAATGATGTGATCATTTATCACCTTATATGACTTTATAACAATTAAAGGAATGTAATACCTTATTTAAAATAATTTGATAAAATGATGTTAATGTGTTCAACAGTGAAACCCAGTCTTAAACCTGTTAAGCCCACAGTCAAGGAACCAGCAAAGCCCAAGCCCAAACAAACAGGTGAGAGGCACTTAATTTATCTCAAATGCTTGTTCTGCTTGAGATGCACTTAAAACAAATATCCCTACTAACCTTCTTCAGTAACAACTGGAGCTGTTAACATCTTTGAGTGCTAAAACATGTTTGGTGTCTTGTGTTATGATGAGTCAGCAGGACATTTACACTGATAGAAAGCTCTTAGAGCGCATATATTTATCTAGGTCAAAAAACACTGTGTATGGTGCAGTATAGGTTGGGGAGTAGCCTATTTTGAACGTTGAAGAATGTATACTGTAAAAGAAAAATCTCATGAATATCCTGTATTTTGGGTGCTTACTAATCAGACTTCATCATAGGTTTGAGTACCCAGCACCCTCTATGTCAAATGCTTTACAATACTAACATATTAACTAACCTCCACTAACAGAAGAGACATTCACTGATTTGTTTGACGCCACCATTCGGCCGGGCCTGTTGCCCCGAACACCCCCTAGTCCTCTCCAAACCTCTGTTCCCCCTCGGAAAGCCCAGTCTGGTTTGTACCGTGCTGTCAGTTTCCCTGTAGAACCGTTCATCGTGTTTGTGTCCGTGTTTCTTTGTCATGTAGATATGTGTATTCAAAGCAAGTTTTAAAGTGGGATGAAAGGCCAAAATGTTTAGATATATTGTTTAACAGTGTCCAGTTTTGACTGAGTCTGGTAATAAATGCGATCATTGTTTAGCATCATTTTGCATAGAATGCTCTGAATGTTCTTCCATATTCAGACAAAACAGAAGGCACACTCCCTAATAATACATTATTACTACAATGCTTTCATACATATCAGCAAATAAAAACATGCTTTAGCTTGTACTCATGTGATGTAAATTATAATAGAATTATGGCAGCTAAAATAAGTCATGGCCACAAGCACAGATTTTCTGGTGGATGTCAACTTAACTCCTATGAACTTCTCTAGTGTGTCTTACACCCCAATATCACAGCACACAATATGATCACATCCTTTACATTTGTCTTCATTGTCATCTTGTCTTGTGAGATTGTGTGGGTTGTATCTTCATTGCATAAAATCTGAAGCATTTAAAAGCTTTGTTTTGATTCACATCTCATATTACACAGAAACCATCTGTTTTTCATTGTCACTTAGCCATATTAAAATAACAGTTGGTACTGTGCATATTTCATTCGTTATAGTGAGTAATTCTTTTGGCTGATAGATTTTGGGGACTTGGATCTTGAAGACGCCCTGAACCCCGACAATGATATCAGAGGAAAGGGCAAAGACTCTGGAAAAGGCGGTAGGTATTTTTCTGTTTACCTGCTTTTACCTTTCTCCATATTTCATTTTTTTTTGCAATTTAGTGGTTCAGTCAGACATCTTTAACAGGAATAATGTAACCTTCTGCAGAGCAGAATCCACGTCCGGATAAAACTAGCCCGCTAAACTGAGTTGTAATATAAGAACTCATTCTGATGAATGGTTTAGGCCAAAATAAACTGCTTCATCACAGCAGACTTTGTTCTACATTCTGAAGAGAAAAGGAAATTTTGAGCTGAAATAAAACTTCTCCACTCATGACACTGTTTCTCCAAAAAGAGATATGAAAGCACGAAAAAAAGATGAAGGGCCTTCTGTTTCCTATCAAAATATCATATTGTGCATCATTATCCATTTTGTCAATTTTCTGTAAAAGTCTGTTTAAACTTGAAGGTAATCAAAGGCCTAGCCAAATGAATCACACAATAAAGTCAATAATATCACCCTTACAGTTTATCACTGGGGAACTTAGGCTACTATGTTGCTAGTCATGGATTAACCCAAGCTAGCCAGGCTTGATGGCATCTCCTGTCTCTGCCAGATAAAGACCTCGGAGGAGGGGGCCGTGATGACGGCAAACCCAATAGCAGAGGTGGAACTGGTGGTAAGAAATATAGTAACCGCTTGGGAAACCCCTTCTACCACCCTCTTCCTCTCTTCATCTTGGCTGGAAAAATCACCTTTTGTACCCACAAATTGAAACTGATCTCACCATTATTAAAATCGAATCGCTGTCTGATTTCAGGTCAAGGCTTTTTAGAACTGAAGCATTAACCTAGTGATCACCTTGGCTCCTGACCTCTTGCATCTTGGCTTTGCATGGATTTTGGTTTAATCAATCAGATTGCTAGTTTCATTGCTTCCTCTAGATTGTATGCAGCAGTAGGGCTGGGTATTGATAGATTTCATGAATCAATTCTAAATGACAAGTTTTTGATTAGATAACATTCAATTCCGATCTCAATTTAATTCAATATTTGTTAATTTAGAATTACTATATGTCAATACTTAAAATATAAGTATATTTCAGTTTTTCTGAACGAAAAAAACATTTTCTCTGAACTAATGCTGTGAATTATACAGGGAACCCTTTACATGGGTTTACAACATAGATTAAATTCAATTGCTATTTATTTTTTAGATAATTGTCAATACCAGAGAAATAAAAATAAAATAATCATCATTTTTCATTTGGTTTGAAAAAAACTTGAAAACATTGAAAAACGGATGTCTCTGCTTTCTAATGTGGTTGTTGATATGTAATCATCATTAAAACGGTGGCTTTTATCATGAAAACGTGTTTTCATGACATTTATTTAAAACCAGTTAAACTCTGCGGAAAAATCGCGTTAAAAATGTTTATGATTCATTTACATAGCCTTCCTTATACGGTATCAGCCCATATATGGGTTAATTTGAAAGCTTGGAGTGTCTTCTTTACAAAGAATACCATTCCTTTTGGTTTTTATATTCATAAAGCAATAAAATTAAGCTTAGAAATTTATTCGTCCCCCACATTTCCGCCTAACCATTGCGAATAATTTCTACGAAGAATGTGTATTTTATATATTTTTCACAAAAAAGTCAAGTCATATATCACAAGAAAGCTCTCATTCTCAGGAATTTGACGATGTAGATTATTTCATTGTGTGACAATCACCGATCGAATGATCTTCAATAGAATCGCGATGTAAAATTTTGTCACCTCTGAGCGAATTTACATTTATACTCGTAGCACTGCTTCAGTCAGCCGCAAACAGCCACAAATATCTATATACTCTATATTATCTTTTAGATTAGGATCTCTTCTTTCAAACAAGACCATTTCCACGTTTCTGCGGGCTTCCATCGGTGAGATATATAGCGTTTTGTCCAGGTACAGAAAAAGACGCTCGTCTGGAAACAGGCGCTCTTCATATCCAAAGCGCGCACAGCCATTGCGTCTAATGTTCTATAGATCTGTGGTCGCTTGTGGACTGCAATTGGTCAGATTACAGCCTGACAGCTCGGCAGCCATTTCAGAGCCGTGAAATTTGACACCTCTGCGTCACTAGCGGGGGAGAGGGGGGTCTTGCATCCGGGACTGTAACT